AACAAAGCTATCATTTAGAATTGAAGGACAGATAAAGAGGTTTCCAGTCAAGAAAAAGCTAATGGAGTTCATCAACACCAAACCAGTATTAAATGAAATGTGAAGGGGTGAAGAAGGAGAAGAAGGAGAAGGAGGAGAAGGAGAAGGAGAAAGAGAAAGAGAAAAAGAAACAAAATGGCAATGAATACATATCTATCATCAATTGAATCTAAAAAACAAGCAGAACAAACAAACTCAGATACATAGAACATGTAAAACTGTAACTGAAAAATAAAAAATGATTTAAAAAAGAAAACATGATAAGTAAAGATCATGTGGGATCCTGGGGGGAGGGTCATAAGTGGGAAAACTGGTGAAATTCAAATGAGGTCTGCAGATTTGTTAGTAGTGTCATGCTTATGGTAATTTCCTGCTTGTCCTGATTGTACTACCGTATGATAATGTAGATGTTACCATTAAGGGAAGCCGAATAAAGTGTGTACAAGAATTCTTTGTACCATTCTTGCAACATTTCCTTAAGACTAAAAGTATTTCATAATAAAAAATAAAAAATAATGGGATGTTTCCTAGCATCTTCCAAAGGTAACAAAGTTTTTTTTTTTTTTTAATATACTATCTTTATGAAATCAAGAATTTAAACATATTTAATTTATTTCTATCCATTACAGTTAAAATTGTCCTATTTTTGGTCAATGGGAATGTAATTAGGGTGGATCCTGAGATTTTTTTACTCAGGCACCCTGAGTCTTTATGACTCTAATAGTTTGAAAGTGTCCTTGTTTTCCAATATATAAAAATATTTATTAATTTCAAGCTCCAGACCTGAAATCAGCCATTTCTCCAAAGATTTACGTGTGTGTGTGTTTTTTAAGTGGGCATGATCTTTAGATAACATAACACGAATGCTAGAGGTGCTGAATTTTTACTATATTATTCATAGTTTTGGGGCATTTTCAATGGACAGAGCTAGGAAATATGTTTTGTTTGTTTTAAAGATAAAAAGCACCATAAATTAACATTGATACTTCCAATTCATGCACAGGACTAACTGACAGTCTATGGGTGGCTGTTTCTGTTCTGCTTATTTATGAGTTTTTATTTAATGTCATTGATCTTACATCTATATTTTCTTTCAACCCTGCCAAAATTGTTTCTTCTCAATACCACCCATTTAATTCACAAACAAAAGTCTCAATTCTCTATTCCACTATTATCAACAACAAATATGATTTCTAAAAAGAAATACACACACACACACACACACACACACACGCACTTATTTTTGTCCTAAGATGTATTTGACTAAGGATATACAATCAACTTATTTTCTTCTTCTTCTTCTTCTTTTTTAAAAAAAATATATATTTTATTGATTTTGTACAGAGAGGAAGAGAGAGATAGAGAGTCAGAAACATCGATGAGAGAGAGTTATTGGTCAGCTGCCTCTTGCACACCTCCTACTGGGGATATGCCCGCAACCAAGGTATGTGCCCTTGACCAGAATCAAACCCGGGACCCCTCAGTCCCCAAGCCGACGCTCTATCCATTGAGCCAAACCTGTTTCTGCACAATCAACTTATTTTCAAGTCACTTGGAATAGTTTCTTTCTATTTGGTTAGGTCATCAACTAATACATTATCAGATGGCTTTGTTTCATTTTTCTTTTGTTTTTAGGGGTAATTAAAATGTGAATTTTGCTTTATGACTATGTAAAATATTTACTGGCTCTCTAATCAAATTTATAAAATAAATAGTATATTCAAAGAAATCTAGCTTCTATCCCTATCTCTTTTACACTGTTCTCTCACTTTACTTATAGGTAACCATTTAAAAAGGCATGCTTTATCTTTCCATTTTGTTTTAGGGTAAACATATGTATGTACATATGAATCCATAAAAACATGGATGCATCTTAGAAAATAGCAACCGATATACATATTTTCTGCACCTTGCTTTTTTTTTTTTAATTGAAAATCCTGGAGATTACACAATACATAGCAATGCATAAATATAGTCTTATTTTTTGTCTACAGCTGCATAGTTCTTCATTAGTTAATTCAACCAGTCTCTTATTGATGGACACTTGGGTTGATTCTGGTCCTTGGCTTTACAAATAGTGTTCATGCTGAGGTGTTTTTGTTGATATTGACTTGGCAGAGCCTTAGGGGAGGAATCAAGGGGTGAGGCTTCTTGGGCAATAGGGTTTCTCTCACAGAGTCAGGGATTCATACTGCACATCCCAGAATGAGATTTCTATTTTATAGAAATGTAGCCATAGGTGGATCATGCTTCTTGGATACTTGTGAGTAAGAGGTCCTTAAACTGTGTTTCTCATGTGGGTTAGCATGAGCTGGAATTTCTTGGTGGTTTTGACAGGCAATTATCTTGAAAAGTAGATGGGAAAGAAGAGATTATGGTGTTAGTGATCAACCCATGCAAAAATCATTTAAACCCACAGATGCCTGCTTTCCCTTTAGGAGAGTTCAATCTGGGCATTCAACCTTCTTGTATTTCTCATGTTTGCACTGTAGTAGGGTTATCAGTATCTTTAGGACACTGGTCATACTGTTTCGGATAAGTCTGTCTGTATTTTCGTCTTTGTCCTAACTTCTCTCTCCTCGCATTGCCCCTGTATTATGTTGTCATATAGCTTGCTTCTGCTCTGACAACCCTGGTGCAACTCTTTTAGAATAAACCACACTGACCTGCTTTCATTCTACTTCTCTGACTGCTTCTTAGTCTCTCTATTTTTTTCTTTCCAAGCATCTATGCTTGGCCTTTGTCTCAGAACCTTAGATGAGTCCTTGATTTTTCAAAAGTAGCTTTTCAACAAAAGCTACTCTTTCCTCAAAAAAAAAAAATGTACATTTCTTTCTCTCTGTATACAGAATTGTGCATAAAATTTCAAGGAGTTCATGAACACCTTTCCATGAGCACGAATTCAAGGACTTCTCTCACACACTCTAGGCTTCCTCTCCCAGGACCATCATTGCTGTTTAATCACAAATGACTGCCAAATCCATATCTCACACCCAGGCCTCTTTTCTGATCTCCACATGTCCCTAGGGCATCTCTTCCACATGATCTGTAGAACATATCTATAGCTGAGGTTGCTTTTTCCTTCCATAGATCTGTTCCTCTGCCCATGTCTCAATGGGTAGCTATATTATTTGACTTGCTGTTCATGCCATAACCCAGGAGATATTCTCGATTTCTTCCCTGACATTCTCCACATCTAGTCGGTGACTCGTAGATGGAAGCAAGGCCCTTTGCTTTCCCTCATGACACAGCCCTAGTTCAGGCCACCGTCATCTCCCACTTGGAAGTCTACAGCAGCTTTTTAATTGGTCTCTGGTCTCTAGAAGCAATCTCTTCCCATCTGGGTAACTATTTTTGCACAGTAGCCGGCGAGATCTTTCTAAATTGCAAGTCTGACTATGTCACTCAACTGTTGATGACTCTTCAAAAGCCTCCCATTGCCCGGGTGAAAAGTCTTGGCATGATTCAACAGGCCTTTCATGGTCTCTCCCTCTTCATTGTTTGCTCACCAGGGTTTCCAACTTCTATATCTACTTTTTTCCAGGATCTCTGCGCTGGTGAGATTTGATACAAAACATAATTTTACAAACATCTTATAAGCTATCAAAGCAGGCCCAAAGATCACTGAATAGAACAGGGCTGGAAAGTGGTGACCAGATCACAAACCTTTACTGAGGAGCTTCTATGCACGAGGAAGTTCTGAAGGAGATGCAGAGATGAGTAATTCAAGGTTCTGCCCCACGGGCCCCACAGTCCATAGAGGAGTGGATAAGAGGCATGTTCCAAATGAACCATTCAACCGCATAGTTAGATGTCTACCACATACGGAGCTTTGTAACGTCAGGGGCAAGGCAGTTCAATGTCCGAAGGGAAAGAACTATGGGGATGCAAGTAGGGATAGACTAGTGAAGCCTCTGTGGGAAGAAGGGGTTGAAACTTGAAGAGTGGGCAGGGAATGGGCCAGAAGAGAAGGGGTCAGGGACTGGGAGAGCCTCCAGGCAGAAGGACCTGAAGGACCCCAGGTGCATACTGTGTCCTTGGAAATGAACCACAGTGGGAGGGCCCTGTTCTCACCTGGGCTCCAGCCTCCAGCCCCTGAGGAAGTTTTTGGGAGCTGAAAAATGGCTTCATTTGCATTTCCCTACATTCATATATGAAACACTAAAATGGTTCTGAGGTGTCATGGATGCTCCCACCAAGTGTGGTTGTTGTGGGTTTCACAGATAGAAAGAGTGAGGTTCAGAGGAATTGAAGTACAGTTTTCAGACATCTAAAGCATATTCTGTGAACTAGGCAATCATCATGGGAATATAGAAAAGTATGAATTTAGTTCTTTGCCCTTACAGAGGCAGAGTTATTGGCTATGGGAGTTCAAAGGAATAAAGAATCCCTTTTAGCTTACATGTAAGGTGGTAGTCAAGAAAGGCTTCTTGGAGGAGGTATGATTTGAGCAGAATCCTAAATTAAGGGTAGGATTTGCCATAGTTGGGGATGTAGGGCACATTCTAAGTATGGCAAAGCATGCTCAGGGGACAATGAAGATTCTAAATAGGTTCAGGAAAGGGGCATACAGGAAGGTTGATCTATGGAAATAAGGCTGGTGGAGCCCTGGCTGGTGTGGCTCAGTTGGTTGGAGCATGATCCTGTATACCATAAGGGTCAAGGGTTCAATTCCCTGTCAGGTTTGATCCCCAGTTAGGGTGCACATGGGAGGCAACTGATCAATGTTTCACTCATGCATCGCTGTTTTTCTCTCTCTCCCTCTTCCTTCCTCTCTCTATAAAAATCAATAGAAGTGTTTGGGTGAGGATTTAAAAAAAAGAAGAAGAAGAAAGAAAGCCAGTTTCAGCTGGCAATTCAACGAAAACAAAAAAGAAATAAGGCTGGTAGAGTAGGGAGGACATTGGCCTTAAATAATTCAGTCTCGTTTTCGCCTCACCACCTACCCTGTATTCCACCAGGACCAGCTCCTCTTCTGTGATGACTGTGACCGTGGCTACCACATGTACTGTCTAAATCCCCCTGTGGCTGAGCCCCCAGAAGGTAATGGCGATGAGGTCGACAATCACAACAGCAGCTACCGCTCCCACTTATCAGGGCCCACTAGGGTTCTGGCCTTGTGCTAAGGGCTTTACATATCTTGTCTCATTGAATCATCACAACCCTACGAAGTGGGTACGGCCACTACCGTTTGACAGATGAAGAAACCGAGGCACAGTTTGACCACCTGAAATGTCAACTTGAGGCCCGGAGAGATGTTTCCCAGACACATGGCTGAGGTGGTGGGAGGTGGAGCTTCTCAGGCCTGGGGATGCTGGTTAAGAAGACAGGACCAAGGAGGGAGGGTCTTCCCAACAGCCCAGCTGGTCCTCTCGGAGCACTTGCGGTTTTCTGAGCAGCACTTGCTCTCCTGAGCTACAGACCCCAGCACGCTTTCAGCACTGGGATTCAGTCTCTGCATTGTGGAAGTCCAAAGAAAACAGGGCTTAGAAGAAGGGAGGGCCCAGAGTGGGGCTTGAGGGTGGGGAGAGGTGCCGCTGGTCATGCTGTCTTATCTCTCGTAGGAAGCTGGAGCTGCCACTTGTGCTGGGAACTGCTCAAAGAAAAAGCCTCGGCCTTCGGCTGCCAAGCCTAGGGCCCCCGGTCACCGCAGGTGACTTGCTGCTGGAGAGGTGGAACCAGAGCCCAGTTCAAAGCTGATCGAGCCCCTTACTCCCTTGTATCCAGACAGACCGACTGTGAGGAAAGCCAGTGACCAGAGGGTGTGACGCAGGGAACCAAGAGGGCGAGGTGTCTGCGTGGCTCCCACACACAGATCTCCGCACGCCGGCTCGCCCTGTCTTGTTTCAACCTAAAGGATCTCGCACGTTTGGAGAACAGCCCAGCCCTGCCGAGCCCTCTCCTGTTTACCCAGCACTGCGGCCCTCTCGCTGGTTCCCACCGTCCGTTATTTGTGTGTAGTCCGCTGTTTTCTATCTATTGTCTTCTAAGAAGTCTTCTCCCAGCCCCCTGCCTCCCCTGTAGGCTGTTCACCCTGAAGCCAGGGGAGGAACCAAGGGCTGTGAGGAAGCCTCCCTGGAAACTTCTAGACCCAGAGCCTGGAGGCTGTCTTGACAGTGAAAGCCCCTCCTTGTTCCTTGTCTCTGTGAAGAGGAAGAGCTGCCTTCTGAGCCGGGCAGATGCCAGTGGCATCACAGCCAGGGCAGTCTGTGCAAGGGGCTGGGGAGGGAGGTCGAGGCCCTGGGGTTGGGGGAGGGAGGAGAGAGGAGACATTCTGAAGACCTTCATGAGGCCCTGCAACAGCCAAGAAGTATTTGCTACCCATCAGGAGCGCTCTGCTGTGCGGTTTCTTCACCCTCAGAACTGGGTTATCCTTGAGGTGAGACAAGCCACAGCCACTGGCAGAGAAAGATGCTAAACTCTGCTTCCCAACCTGCCGGGTCTGGAGCTACCCCTGCGTGTGGGGGGTGGGGGTGGAGGGTGGGGGTGGAGATGGGGCAGGCAGTTCAAGATCCAGGAAGGCGAGTGAAGAAGCCTACACCGTTGAAAATCTAGATGTTGGTAAGAAGCACTGCGCCTTCGAGAATTCAATTCAGTTCTTCAGTATTGATGTGACACTACACATTCCCTTTCCCAAGTGGTTCTTCTTTCCGCCAAGTGTGTGTCTGCTCTTGTCTCCTGAGGCCGAACTCCGGAAATTTCAGGACTGGGGAGAGATGCCGTTACCTAGACAAATAACCGAGGTGATGGGATTAGTCATGACCAAGGTGGTGGCCATGCAGAGCCCTCAGCTCGAGGGCCACTTTTCTCTCCTAAGCTCCCAGTACCGACTGGGCGCCTTTTTATTATTATTTTTTTTTAATCCATCAAGAAGAAAGAGCCTCAGATTTCGAGAAGCCTGTGTTGGAAGGCCACCCTGTAGGTTTGCTCGGATCGGGCTGCCTTTGAGTCTCACAAGCAGTGGCCACGGCAGCAGCTGTGCACAGTTGACAGGCTTCCAGGGGAAAATCATTTGCCCAAAGGGCAGGTCTCGCTGAGCGGGACCCTCGCGCATGCTCGGCTCCCCTGAAGTCGGCTCCGTCTCTGTGGCCCGCTGCTTACAACAAAGGCCGAGTTATTTTTAGCCCTTCGACCCCTGCAGAAGCCCCTGGAGACCTGCAGAAGGGCGAGGTGGGCCATGTCCGCCTGCTGTGGAGCTCATCCTGCGATGTGGCAATGCTCTTGGCCAGTGGACTCAGGCAGCCTGTTGGTCTCCCTCAGTTCTTTGCACCTGGGGCTAGAGGTGGGGGTGACTTTCCTGCAGGGAGGGGCCTGTGGCCTTGGAGGGAGTTACTTGCATGTGCCATGATCTCATTTAAAGGGCCTGTCCAGGTGGGATTCCATCTTTCCCAGGAGGTGAGCCTGTTTTGGGAAGCTGCTGTGTTGTCACATCATTTGTTCATTTGAGGGTAATATCTCTTTTCCTGACTGCTCTCTATGGCCCCGCTCCCCTTCCCCCAGCCTAAAGTGGGGTGTCCTCCAAGGCCGATGATTGGTTTTGAAAAGAACTACAACTTCATTTTAGAAAAAAAGTTACCAAATTGTTCCCAAGTGCTACAATAGCCTAAATGTTAAGAAAGCAAATTTGAAACAAAAAACTGTGGCCCTTCTACTTGGTGGGTCCTCCTTGGAGTATTGGCAGGTCCACTCCCACTTTATCACAGACAATGGGGGAGTCCTGTCCTATCTCCAGCCACGCCTGCTGCCCGCAGGAGCTGTGAGGGTGGGAGTGAGTCTTGCCGACAAGGAGGGTGCTGTTCCTGCCACAGTGATGGGAGCTCAGGGCTCTGGAATGGACCTCGGGAGAGCCCAGATCCCTTCCCGGTTTCCCTCCCTGCAGGATGGGCCCAGCCCCTTCCTCTTTGGAGAGTAATTTCCCCCTCAGGAAAGGGGTTGGCAAAGCCAGCAGTGGGGCGGCACTTTTGGGGCACTCAAGCAGACACAGTCACATCTGTCACCTTCTGGATTGAAAAAGGAAGGTGATAGTAAACTTCATATTGGCCTTTCTTTGAACCCCCGAGAATGAGCCAAAATCATAGGGTGCACATGGATAACTAAGATTTTCATTTTGCCTCTGGCATGGAGTAGCCGTGTGACCTTGGGCAAGTCACTCAACATCTCTGAACCTGAGTGTGCCCATTTGTGAAATGGGGATAGTAATGCTGGCCCTGCCTAGTCCAGAGACACGGGGAGACCTAAAAAAAGCATAATGTTACATAAATTACCACGGAGAGCAGTGTTTGTGCGGGAGGGACTTCAGATAATTTCTGTGCCCCCTTTCTAGGGTGAGTTAGCCAAGGTTAGACACCTCCGTAGGATCTCCATTTTGACCAAAGGGGGCTTATGCGCTAAGGGCTGTGCTGCCTGTGGTCAGGGCCACTAGCCCCAAGCTGAGACAAAGGAAACGGTGACTGTGTGTGGGTGTGTGGTGGGAGATGGGGGTTTGCCCTGGGGTAGGGGACTTCAGGATGACGTCACACGAGATACTCCCTTCTACAAGACCAGTGCTGCCCAGGCGGGGAGCCAGCTTCTGGAGAGGACGGAGATGCAGTTCAGTGGAACATTCACCGAAACTTTTTGGTTGACAGCCTAGTTCTGCTACTTTCTAGCTGGGGGACACTGGGGAAATGTCTTGCCCTCTTTGAGCCTCTTTTTCCACATCCGTGGGGCGGGAGATGCGGCCTCTCCAGCAGGGCTGTTAGCGGGATCAGGGGGACGCTGGTGACGCTGGCACGAAGGTCCCCACACCACAGTAGCTCTGGTCCTTGTGGACGGAGGCCACCACGTGGAGATAACCGTACTGTCGACTCCCAGCTCTGCGCGGTGGAACAGCCAGGGGGCCTTTGTTCCACTCTGATGTGGCTCCAGCCAAGCAGGGAGGAGGTGAGGCTGCAGGATCTAAGCCGGAAGTCGAAGCCCTCTGTTTCCTGTCGGTGTTTTTGAAACACGGCTTGTTGGGCCTGCAGCGAAGGCTGTGCAGGCCACGTTGGGAGGAAACAGAGACAAGGCCCCCGCTAGGAAATGTACATGCTAGCTCTTCTCTGTTCCCCATGGACTCGATGCGGGCACCTCAGGCAGGAGCCGCAGGTCCCGGGCTCCCCTGCTCCTGTCATCGGCCCCGGGCAGGTAGAAAGCCCAGGCAGGCAGCCAGGGGGACCTGGAGAGGCCCTTCTCCCCCAGGCTCAGCTCCGGGTGACTGGGTGACTGAACCAGAGAGGAGGTGGGTGGGAGGGAAGCCAGATTCCTTCTGAGCTGGGGAAGATAACAGGCTTTAGGCAGGATGGGGAGGGGGGGGCGGGGTTAGGGTTTCATCGTGATGTTCGTGATACACTCCTGTGCATTTTAGTCTTTGTGCTTCAGAGTGCCATTCCTTTTGCCCCTCCCTTTAAGACGTTGAGCTATTAAGGAAGGAAAAGGAGACGGCTATTACTACTTTTCCAAGAAGGGCAAGTTTAGGGGACAGACCTGTGCTCTTCTGTGTCATGAAGAAAGATTACTGGCCACCTCAGGCCTCGGGGCTCAGCGAAGTGGGTCCCTGTGTGGGCTGGGGAGCCCCGAGGACCACCTTCCCTGCCCACAAGCTGGTTCTCAGCCTCCCTTCCTCTCTCACTCCCTGACCCCCCAGCCCTCCCCGCTGCCCTCTCCAGGCTCCTCCTCAGAGCATCCCAAGGGCAATGAGGACTGGGCCAGAGCCCTGCTCCCCCCGGGGAAGATGTCCCCTGGGCCATGCCTGCCCCCTCCGCCACTGTGCATCGGCCCCTGTGGTGGGTCCACATCCTCTCTCACTCCAAGAGGGGGCCAGAAACCCAACTCCCACTTGGGAAGAAGTCCTGGAGCTAAATAGCAGGGGGGGGGGTGTTGGGATAGAAAGGAAGAATTATCACAACCCATTGTCCCCCGCCCCCCCTTAGGCCCGACAGCGTTGTTGTTGTTGTTATTATTATTATTTTTTTTACAGGTATTTTAAATATGTATTTTATTGATTTTTTTTACAGAGAGGAAGAGAGAGGGATAGAGGAAGGGGGAGGGAGAGAGAGAGTTAGAAACATCGATGAGAGAATCATCGATCAGCTGCCTTCTGCACACCCCCTACTGGAGATGTGCTCGCAACCAAGGTACATGCCCTTGACTGGAATCGAATCCAGGACCTTTCATTAAAGGCCAAACCTTTGCCCAGTTCTGGACACCAAGGCAGAGGTCCTCCGGCCTCCTGCTCCCTGTTGCTTGGGGGGCTTCTGAAGGCAAACAGGGCAGGAGCAGTGCCCTCAGCTGGCTGGAGGTGGGAGGTACAGCGGCCTCCTGGCTGCACCCCTGTGGCTTACAGGGAGGGTGTCCTGACTTTCTGTGAGAAGCTGCCCAGGTCCCTCCTGGTCTGGCTGGGGAGGTGGGGCTGGTGGGGGAAGAGATGGCAGCAAAGGCTGGCAGGCACCCAGCCGGCAGCCTGGCGCAGGAGGGCCCCCAGGCACCGCTCCCAGAGGGCAGGCCCAGGAGGCCAGCGCAGGGATGGGAAGGGGGGAACCTGGCCAGTCCTGCCCTAAGCCATTTGGCAAAGCAAAAGGTGTTCCTTCATGTGTGCTCCCCTGTTTGGGATTGTAC